TCCTCACCCTCCACATGAGGATGTCCGTCACCTATGAGTGTTCTTGGACAAATCATGCTGGGCTCCCTTAAAGCAGGGACGCTCAACTTGCTTTGCCCGAGGGCCACTTTAACAAAATGACAAGAGGCTAGGTGTGTATTAATAAACAGACATTAGTATATTTATATATTTTTAAAGTTGACTGTTTTCAACCTTTCAAAGTTTGCTGTCCTCACTCATCTTTGCCAAGAGCAGGCGTGTGATTGGCAAAGGACAAAAGAGCAGGAAATTATAGATCCCAAGATGGTGCCAGTCCTCCTCCCACTCACCGCTGTCCTTTTACTGTACAATCAGCAGGTTGAACTCAAGCTGAACACAAACAAACTTCCTCATGGATACTTCAAAAGGACAAACAAATCTTTCACACCAATGATCCTCAAATCCACTCTTTCAGGCACCTGTCAGGGGTACAGCAGGGATCTTTACCTGGCACTTCATTGTTTATTAGATAAACAAGTTCTATTTTCATGGTGTTTAAATTACATTAAACATAGAAAAAACATCCCACTGTGAATCAATTTATTTTTATTCTCAATTACAAAACATTCCGCTGGTCACCCTGCACCCAATCACGGGCCAGATTTGGCCCTCAAACTATAAGTTCAGCGTCATTGCCTTAAAGGTTAGTTTCACAGACAAACAATAGGGAGGTGCCCATATGGTCTAATCATTCCTTCAGTTCATACTGGCAATTAGAAGATCTCATTTTAAAGGAACACTCCACCCACAAAATGACCATTTGTAAATCCATTAGTCATGCAGCGTCACCCTGAATTCATGAACTGTTTTTCTCGCATTCCTCCATGGAAAACAATGAACATATTGATCGACTGGGAAACCAGGTTTAACAATAGCAAAACTATATCAGAACATCAGTTTACAAATTCTAACACAACTCCAGCTAAAACCTTACTATTTAAAACTGAACTGAAAGTGAAACTTATCTATACGCTCTTCAAAGCCAGACTCCAATACTGAGTTCTTTTTAAGCAAAAATACATGTGTTTGGGAAGTATTGAGCATTTGACTGAACAAATGAGATGTGGATTATACTGCGTGAGTTGTTTGAGAGTTTGTAAACTGATGTTTTGATATAGTTTTCTTCATGATATCAAAGTAAAACGTGAAACATGACTAACTGATATACAAGTGGTTACTTTGTTGGTGAAGTTTCCCTTTAATGCTTTTCCAATGTAAGTGATGGGAGCCCTTGTTTTTGTGCAGAAATATATTCCAACGTTCATCTGAAGCTAATACGATGCCTCAGCAGTCTGAGGTACACAAATCAAGTGGATATCTTCCAAAGTTACAGCCTTTGTAATTCAATTCAATTCAATTCAATTTTATTTATAAAGCCCAATATCACAAATCACAATTTGCCTCACAGGGCTTTACAGCATACGACATCCCTCTGTCCTTAAGACCCTACTGCGGATAAGGAAAAACTCCCCCCAAAAAAAACCCCTTTAACGGGGAAAAAAAAACGGTAGAAACCTCAGGAAGAGCAACTGAGGAGGGATCCCTCTTCCAGGACGGACAGACGTGCAATAGATGTCGTACAGAACAGATCAGCATAATAAATTAACAGTAATCCATATGACACAATGAGACAGAGAGAGAGAGAGAGAGAGAGAGAGAGA